AATATAAAGATAAAAATAGAATCAAAGAGTAAGAAAGAAAAGACCACCATCAATATATAAAAAGCCAGAAAAGAAATTTCTGTTGTGAAACAAGTGAGAGATACCTTGAGCCTAGAGAAAATTCAGGTTGGGTCAACAGGGAGGTCAACTGACCAAGTATCATATTACACTATGGTTTAATCCACCACAATCAAGTATACGATCATCTCCGATAGGAAGGCTATTTGAGTCCCTCTCCTGGTGGCCAGAGGGGATCTGCCAAGAGGCTGAATCTCACTAGAAAGGCTTCAGGGGGATTTGCGGCTCCCAGAGTCCTCCACAGCCTTCCGGGGATTGGGTGTTCACAATTTAAGCTCTCATACTTCTCCCTTCATCATGTTTGGATTTTGTTATTGTCATCTTCGGATCCAAAGACTGGTGTGCTTACGATGTGCATTTTCTTGGAGGGAAGGGTTTTCCCAGAATGGACTGTCAGAATAGATTCATCTCTCTGCTCCATCGATAGGAAAGCATGGCCGGAAGTAGGGGGGACTAACACAAAAACCAAAACCCAAATTCCTTGCTCTTGAGTTGATTCTGATTCGTAGCAACCCTACAGGTCAGGGTAGACCTGGCCCTCTGCGGATCCCAGACTATTACTCTTTACTGGAGTAGAAAATCTCATCTCATCTCCTGGAGCGGTTGGTGGTTTGGAATGGGCTAACTCTATGGTTAACAGCCTGAAGCACAACCCACTACACCAGCAGGGCTCCCACAGGAGGAAAGCTGTAGCGTTTCTCTGTACACACCACGCAGCCTCAGGTTATGATGGGCCGGCGGGCGTCCTGTACTGTAATTTAAATGTGCCCTCACTTGGCCGGACCAACCCCTCCTCACAATAGATTCTGCATCCCTATCGCCTTCCCTGGTTGCTCACGGAGGTTTCAATCATGGAAAAGCTTCAGAGTCTTTTCCTACACTAAAAGAAGGCCAAGTCAGAGCAGTAAGACACACTTAGGAGCGGATGCCATCAGTAACCTGGGCCTGCCTGTAATGCCAGCGGCAAGCTGGCCATAAATAAAAGACGATGATTTACAAGAAATCTGGACCATGGCCATGTAAGTACGGGTCGTCTTTGACTTCTGACATACTCAAGGGATGACAAACTTCAGGTTCCTCGGTTAGTTGTTTAGTGCGTCTTACCATGAGTCATTTGCTGCAGTGCAGCATGTGCCAGCCCTGTCACTCTCGATGTTCCCTTGCAGGTGGTCATTTTTATGATTTGCTGTTCAAAACACTGCCATTTGTATACAAAGACAGCAGTGTCTTTGTAAGGATACGGATCAGCGAAGTCATTCCTAATAGGAAAAGCAAGGCATTCGGTCCTGTGGGAATGGATGTGTGATCAAATTGTTGGGACAGGACCCAGTTGTAAGACTGGGACTCCCTCTGTGCAGTCAGATTACCCGCTAGCCAAGGTAAACACAGGCTTGCCCGTGCTTACTTACTCCTCATAGTAAACCATTGCACATTACGCCACCACATCAGAGTCTGCTTCCAGGGATGGCGGGCACCTGTCTTTCCCCCAAAGCCCTTTCCTGACAGGGCTGGAGTGACCAGTAAACAAAGCAAACGTGGGCTTACTTGTGGTTACTAATCTGTCGTGAGCAGCTTCAGAAGCTTTTCACTACGTCAGCAGTGGCCATCTACAACCCCCATGCAGTCCGAACCTAACGGAATATAGCAGCGAGAATCATTTGTCTGCGAGGGAAAAAAAAGTCAGCACAACATGGTCTAAGCACAAAAGCAATTGGTTGGATCACCTATGTGAACAGTCCAGGGAGGAGCCCTTGGGTGGGCCTTGCTAGACTCAGGGGAATCAGACAATGTCCTTAGGACCTAACCCCTCCCAGCTCTTTGTTCAACTTTCATCTGAGTTGCCTGCTTTCTCAGAGGGACCCCCTTTTCGAGGGTGGCCAGAGGGCAGCCAGAAACCCCAGGGTAAAATTGTTACAACGCAAAGGCTGTGGGCTCTGGACAGTTTTAGCCAAGAGGAGGCTCACAGAGACTACTCAGCCACATATCACAAAGGCATTCTTTTCTGACTCTTCAAACAGAATCAGGTCCAGGATTAAATGTTCAAGAGATGGGGGATTCGGCTGAAAAAATAGATGTGTGTGTGTGTGTGTGTGTGTGTTTTAAAGTATACAGTTCAGTGACTTTCTATTTAGAACTGTGCCTGAAAACATTGTTTGATTGTTGCAATGCTTCTGGCTTATCCTGGGTAGAGACTGGGGACGCTGGTCAAACATCCTACTGTGCACAGGACAGCTCCGGCACCACAAAGCAGTTTGAACTTGGCCTAAAGTGTCAGTGGTGTGGAGGTTGAGAGAGCCCGGATTGCAGGTGTGGTGGCCTGTCTCCACAGAAGACAGAAAGAAGACCCCTGCCCATGCTGTGCCTGCAGCAACTGAGCATGCACCTGTGTGCTCTGGGCATTGCAGGTGGCAAAGAGGCTCCCAAGCCATCCCTGTTTCTCTTCAACACTGGAGCTCACCGCCCAGCCCCCTCCATCTGTACCTCAGGACCTATAGTCATGGAAGTGACAGCTGCCGATCCAGCCTGATTAGGTGGGAAGCTGCTAGTGGCCATTTTGTAAATCAAGGTTAGCACATCAGAGGGTGGGACCAGGCCTTGAGCTCCTGGGGAAGGATGGCTGAGTGGCTCAGTGTAGTCTCTCACTCAGGGTGGGGGGAAGCTGCCTGCCCATCGGAATGTGTTGTCCTTTTGGCCATATTGGCTGGCAAAGGGGGCACCAGCACCAGGGCTTCCAAGGGTGTCCCCGTAGAATGGTGCTCGGTGCTGGGAGACAGGTGAAAGACGGGACCATTTCCCTGCATGTTGTGAGTTAGGATCCTTTGCTGCCAATGACTGCGAGCAAGTCTGCAAATGGTTGTAAGCAACCAGGCGATGTGGCACCTCCAGTGCTGCATGGGGAGGTTCTGGTATGGCTTGACTGTAGGCCCCCCGCAGCAGTTACAGGCACTGACTGCAATGCCCTGAGCCAGAAGAGCGAGTCTCCCTTTTCATCCCTTTCTTACAAATGAGAAGACAGTTGTCCCCAGAAGCCACTGAGCACTCTTCCCCCGTGTCTTATTGTCCAGGAGTGAGTCACATGCTTGCCCATCCCAAACTCAACTCCTGTGTAAAGAAATGGGGTAATTATGGTTGTGCTGTAAAACCAGTCACTTGGAGCAGAAGAGATATTGGGTGTCCACTTGGATGACCACTGTAAGGAGCCCGGGTGGCCTTGTGGTTAGGCATTGGGCTGCTAACTGGAAGGCCAGAAGTCCTGAGACCACCAGTTTCTCTGAGAGAGAAACTCCTATAAAGTGGCAGTCCCATAAAGCGACAGTCTGGGATGTCCACAGGGGCAATTCTACCTTGTCCTGTATGGTCACTAGGAGTTGGAATTGAATAGATGGTAATAGGTTGAGTAGAAGGCCCATTTAATGGAAGGTGGATGCTAACCTTTGGTAAACCAAAGTTGCCATCCCTGATAAGTCAGCCAACAACCAGGTCTGTTATCAGTCCTGACTATTGTTGAGGAAAACTTAAAAGTTTGAGCCACCGAGGATGCAAACACAGTTGGATGAGCAGGGTTGGCCACTGGGCACTTAGTGTAGCACCACCACACCCATGGAAGCTTCTAAGCTAAGCTAACAAAGGCCTAATTAAACAAAAAAAACAGACCAGTTACTGTGAAGTCCATTCCAATGCATGGCCAGCAATTAACCACCCTGTATTAATTTTTAATTATTACAATCACTGAATAATTTATTCCTAATTTTGAACACTTGACCTCGGGTCTGAGCCCTTTGCAGGCTGTGCAGAGCCGTGTAACTATTATCTGCTATACATTATCTGTCCTCCGGGTAATTGTTCTTTTTTGAGCTTCTTTTTTGTGTGTGTGTGTGAAACACTTATGAACTTATTAAAAAAAATAAAATGAAAAACCACCAGATGTAATCACTGAGAACTATAAAATGAAGGATATATACCCCAAGTCAGATGTACCATCTCAGAATAACTCAAGGGCAGTGGGGTTCTGGTCTACAGTCAGTCCTGAAGATGCAGTCATGGGAGGGAAAGTTGATAACAGCCACAGCACATCAGCAAACCTGTTGTTGCCAAGTCCACTCAACTCCGAAACCCTAGAGGACAGGAGAGAACATTCCCATAGGGTTTCCAAGGCTGTCAATCTTGACAAAAGCAGACTGCCACCTTTCTCCTGCAGAGCCACTGGGGGGTTGGCACTGCCCTTTTGGTTAGCAGCCCAGTGCTTAAGCACTGTGCCGGCACAGTATGGTTCCACTTCTCGGTGGTCTCCAGAGATAGGACATACACAGAGACCAAAAAAAAAAAAAAGCAGATGGGTGGTGACCAGGGGCTGAGGAGGCAGGAGGGAGCGCCAAGGGTACACAGAGCTGCTTTCTGTGGCGATGAAAATGTGTTGAGCTGAACAGAGGTGGGAGTTGCACAGTATGAGGAATGGATTGATCACTGCTTTCATGAGATGTTTCATGTGAAGTGAAAAATACACGGAGGGGTGAGAAAGATCTATGCACCAAAACAAACAAAAAGTTCAAAATGTTTAAAAACAAGCTGGAAGGACGGGGTAGCTGATCTCAACAGTCGCGGCACAGCTGTCCTTGTCCTTGCCCAGTACTATCTCCTCTTCCCCTGTTCTACCTGCCCACTGTGAAGGTGGGGCTTTAAAGGCAGGATTCTAGAACTGCCTACTAGCTTCTCTTTCCTGGCCATCTTGTCATGCATTGGGGCCTGGTGGCTCAAGGGCCCTACTGGGCTAAGCCTGGACTCATGGCTGTTGGACCTGGGTCCCTCTCCTGTTGACGGATACCCGGAAAGAAGCACACCACCCCAGAGACCTTCTACAGTGAAAACAGTACACACAGAAAGTGTAACTGAAATCGGATTCCATTTTAAAATTCAATTTCACGTCACAATCTCCTACGTGGCTGAGCAGGCCGAGGGTCAGTGGCCCCGGGGATGGAGCCCTCACCACCCTGGGAATGCCAGGACCTCTTGTGCCTGTAGACCTGATCCCGGCTCCGGCTCCTGTGACTGCTGGGCCAGCCAGGATGAGTGTCTGTGCTTCGGCCCTGGCCCCGGTCCCGGTCCCGGCTCTTGTCCTCTTTTCCTTCTCTCTTGCTGGAAGACTTAGGTTCAATCCTGGGCTTCTCCTTCCTCTCTGGGTCTGCTGCCCGTCGTCCGTCTGGAGAGCTGGGCTGCTGCTTCCGGCCCTCTCTGGCCTCTGCCGTGGGCGCCCTGGTGGAGCTCTCGCTGCAGTGCTTTTTCAAGCCTGGCTCCTCCGTTATCACCTTGATGCTGGGTGAGGAGGAGGAGGGCAGTGGCTCAGTCAGGACCTCCCGCTCAGGCTTCTCTTTGACTTTCGTTCCTTTCTTTTTCCCCTTTTTGTCTTTTCTGTGCTTCTTTGTGGGTCTGTCATTGTCTGAGCCCTCCGATGAGCTTGGCGGGGGTGTGTGAGCCCCACAGCCCTTCTCCTGCAGGGCTTTGGTTACCTCGTCCAACTCCTCTGAGTCCTTCGGAGCCCGATAGTTGGTCACGTGATCCACTCGGATGGTCCGTCCTTTGATTTTGATCCCATTGAAATTATCCACAGCCAGGATTGTGCTCCTCTGGTCTTCATAGCACAGGAAACCGAATCCTTTGGATTTCCCAGTCTTCTTGTCCCTCACGAGATTGATGTTCACGACCTCTCCATACTGTGAGAACACACAGATGACGTCTCCTTCAGTCAGCTCGTAAGGAAGGCCTCCCAGGAAGATCCAGGCGCTGTCCTTGTCCTCAGAGCGCCAGGAAACCGCACCGGCCACCGCAAGCTGGACCTTCCGCTCATTCAGCTCATTGATGAGCTTCACCTTCGTCAAAGGGTTCATTGTCGCGGGTCCGCGTTAGGCAACGAAACTATAGCTTCCGGGTGAGGGTGCACAGCGCGTGCGCAGTTCGGGCGCTGCGCGCTCATTCTTCTGAGCTTCTTTTAAAGACAAACAGCCCTTTGCCACTTATCAGAGAAGAGGCTTCCTAAGGAAGTCCCGGATGCCCTTCTCCAACTCTTCAGCTCTTACTGCACAGAAGGTCGCAAGTGCTGGCCCCTAGTGGTTGGATGGGGAATTCTGGATGTAACATTTGTGAGTTGGAGCATGGGATGGCCCAAGTGGTTAGTTAATATGCTTGACTGCTATCCAAAGGGTTGGCAGTTCAAACCCACGTATAGGGACCTTGGGGGGGGGGGAAAGCTCAGTGATCTCCTCCAGAAAAAGCAGCTATGGGAAACTGCTTGAAACACAGTTTACTTTGGCACACATAGGAGACCCTAAGTTGGAATTGACTTGCTGGCACCTGGTTGGTCTGTTTAGATGAAATCTTCCAAGCCTCTTTGTCCTTTTGCTACAGAAATCAGCAACATTTAAGACGATGGTTACTCTTAGTCTGGGATCCAGAGGCCTGGGACATGGAGCAACTGAGGCACTTGCGGTTTGAGCAAAACCAAATAAACTCAACATTTAAAAAAAAAGTATTAGGGGTTGTTTATTTGTGTTGCGTAATCTAGTCTGTTCTATCTGAAACACCTTCCAAAGTCCTTTTTGTGACCGACAAGTGAGGCTGTATTCAGGGAGAAAACACCCTGGGCGGGGAGTAGACTAGCAACGTGGAACCCAGGCTCAAGCCGGTCTAATCTCCTCGTGACTTGCTTGAAAACAATATCACTGCCATTGAGCCCATTCCAATGCACGGCACCCTATAGGGCAGGGTAGAATTGCTCCTGTGGGTTTCTGAGACAGTAACTCTTTTTATACTCTTTATGGTGTACAGCATTATTGATCTCCTTTTCCAAATTATTCC